GCTCTCTACCGCCCTGCTGGCTTGGATCGTATGACAGAACTTGCATTACAGTCTCTGGATGGTTTATAGCCATGTTGCAAACAAAATCAGTTAGACACTCTTGACTGGCAGGTCTACATAACCAGTAGGTCTACATTATGAAAAAGCAAAACAGCTAGAATAGGTATAAAAAGGAATGGAAATTGATTTAATTTTTCACAAACTAACCTTTATTCATGGGTGAGGGACTTCTAGGTACCATGAATATTATCTGGAGAGTGCGTATGCATTATTAAAGATTCTTTGTAGATAATAGTTTGAAATAAAACCATATAAATACAGAAAAAAACAGTACGTGTGAATTCCAGTGATTCCTTTAAAGAAATCCAAAACATGTATAACATGCACTATGAATCTCAACTCCCTTCAGACTCTGTTCAGAAATGTACAAAGATTTGCAAATCCATGATTTTTACTGGTGTTTAAATAGCCCCATTGGCCCTAAACCAATTATCTGATGCTATGAGCAGATCCAGGAAATGGAAGTAAACAATGAGGGGACAAATCAAAGATTGCTTAATGTGTTTTCCTCTCATTTCAAGTCTTTTATCCCCTTTAAGTTAGCTCATAGCACCTATTCCTGTAAGACTTAAATTTTCCCCTTTCATTCCAAAATTCCCTTCATCTCCGTTAATTTCTTAAGAAACCATAGCTGCCTTATTTAAAGAGAAAAGTTCAATAACAGCTTTCAGAAGGCAGAGGGAGAACAGTGAGGCAGCACAAGCCTCTAGCTAGGGCACAGACCCTGGCTCTCCAGGAGCCACATTTCATCCTTGACTGAGCAAATCCCTTCTGCTCTCTGCACTTCACCTTGCCTCCTTTGCCTTTGTATCTTTAGTTGCTAAGCTTTGTGGGACAGTGTCCTCTCTGTGTGTTTGCTTAGCGCTTAGAATAATGGTAACCTTGTCTCAGCTGAGACCTCTCAGAGCTGCTACAGAGCAATATTCCATTTTCTGTCTTTCAATACGTCCACAAAATCTCCAGTGTTTTATCAGTCCCTGACAGAGCATGTGGCTTGTCTCGGGAAAGGTTTTCCTGTGTTCAGCAACTTGTAGCATCAGGACTTTGATTTGAGTTAGCTATACCAATTGTTTAAAATACCTCATTTCTGTATACTGTGTGTTTGATTCATTCCTTTCTCCTCTTCCAACGCTTCAAATCAGTTAAATATTTCTGTCTGGAATTTGCGTCATCTGTCTTGAGTTAACATTGTTTTAAACTAACAGACTGATTTTCTTATTTTCGTTTTTGCCAATGTCTCCAAAGAGGCCTGGTTGGCATTTTAAGTTGCTCTTGCCTTCTTTATATAAACAGAGTATTAATTTCTTACGATCTGGGAAGAAACCAGCTTAGCAGGAGTATTTGTGTAGATGAGGAACATTGCTTTGCTGATTGTTTGGGATCTGTTGTCTTATGCAGAATGATAACTTTTATTACAATGTTAGGCAGTATGTAATGTATTAGGGCATGTGATGTGTGTGTATATGTGTGTTTGCATTTTCTCTGTGATACAGTGAGGTATTGACTCTAGCTGGTGCAGAAAAAAATTTGCTCAAATACGTTCTACTGATTGACCAATTCTTCTGTGTGAATATCACCTATAGTCCCAGGTTTCTTGAAGAGTGAATTGTTTCTTAATGTTATTGACTGACAACATCTTCAAAATATAGCCATCAAGCAAAGAAGTTGCCTGCCTGGAGTGCACAGCAACCAAGTTGTCTTGGAATATATAGTTCCCTTTATAATGGATACTCCCACATCCCAGAGCGTTTAGCTGTTAATTCCATGTTCTTTCCTGCTGACTCTGCACACACAGGGACTATTGGGTCAAGCAGCTCTTTCTGGATGTGCACGCTCCAGGGTAAGGGAAGTCACAATGTTGCAATGTAAAGCTGCTCTGCAGAATATTAGTTTCATAGCACAAGCTAGAACATCATTATATTACTTTTCTATCTTACATTAGGCATAAGTTCCCCTGGAGGAGTGTTTGTGAGTCTCTTTTCTTCCGGACCTTCAGTTTAGAGGAATGCATCGGCCATCTAAGGCAAAATCTGCCTTTGTGTCTAGTGCAAGTATAGATCTGCTGAACTTCTGTGTTCATTCACGAGCACCTCCTTCTGCAAATGTGGCAAATCCTGATAAAAATGAATTCTGGGGAAATAACTTTTTTAAAATATCACAAGGTTTGCTCTAAAGCCCATTTAGCTAAATCTGCTGCTGCTGTCCACCACACTGACAACTGCAAGTAAAATTGCCTGGCAAATGCTAGTAATCCTGAATACAAGTCTGTGTGAACTGAACACCTACACTATAGTTTGGGCAATATTTCTTTAAGCCCTCAAAATTGCTAGGCATTGTAGACTGTCTGAAAATGAAGCGACAGAGCACTTGATGCTTCTGCCTGGGAATACCATCTTCAGATTTCAGCTCATCTTCTTCTAAAGATCTAAAAAATAATAACCTGGGATGGAAAATGGAAATATGAAAATAAAACTAATTTTTTGAGAGAAAGTATTTGAAAATATTCATTCCAGGATTGCACTTGATTTTGAATATCCAAGACAGATTTAGTTTTGTTCACTCCAGTTACTCAACTGGAAGATGGAATGTTGCAGATGAGTCCTGTCCTTGCAGTCTCAGGTAAGTTTATACATGTCTGCAGAATGGACCACCCTATGTCTGCTCACACAGATGCGAATGTGTGTTGTTAGCCATCCAAAAAAAAAAAAACCCCTATAAAGAGCTGCAGGTCTTTGATACAGAAGACAGTGTCACAAAAATTATCTAGTGCAACAGGAAGAGCACAAAAGAGAGCAGTGTTGTCTTTTGTCATATTCCAGCGGCTAATCTAGCAAATGTAAGAGGCACAAGAGAAAGTGTACGCTGGAAAGAAGAAGAAATGTTTATTTTTGTTTTAAGCGTGTCAGTCTACACTGGGTAATAAGATTTGGAGAGGATGTTTGAAAAGGGAGGGGGGGTATTCCAATTTTCTGAGGTATGTTGTCAGGACTACAGGTTGATTTTTTTCCATGGTGGCTATAGCCTGGTGCTCTGACTATGCATCTGACAGCCTATTTCTGTGTAAGACATGCTACTCTTAGGAAAATACATTCATTTCAAGAATACCATGACATAGAAATGTCAGAAGAAGTGATTTCTTCTTGTTGATAGATAGTCTGAAAGGTAAAGCAAGTTTATATGACTCTCAAAGGTCTGTATGCAAGAAGATAACCCAGTCTGCAAGAAATCTTTTATTTATTCAGGATTGTTTGTTATATTTTAAAGTTTGTCTCCCACTGTCTTCTGACAAGTACAGAATCGGCACTGGTTGAAAAACCTTCTAGGAAACAATATATTTGAAAGACTGGTTTGATGACTAATCAGCATTCTGTCTTGCTCCGCCACATCCAGTCTAAAGAAGTGATTTATTTGTGTGTTTGAAGATGAAATGCAAATCTTGAGTAATTGCATTCAAACAGCTGTGTAGTATAAACTTATGAAACCACTCCATCGTACTGTCAGCTAAAATTGACCATCCCATAGATTTATCAGCAGAACACAAAGTAATTACTTCTTTGTCACATCTAGCATTTGGGAACATGAGGAGGAGGGCATTTGAAAAGCCCTAGCAGGAGATTAGAAAAAAGATGCATGTCTGACCCAGCAGTGATGGTGATTTTACCATTAAATTCACTGATAGCAGAATTAGAACAGAATTTTGTATTACGAATGTGACCTATTACCTCTTATACAGGTGCTTAGATATCACAAAGATAAAAAGTATAAAGGTAGTCAGAAAAAGGATTTCAAATGTTTGGATAAATACTTACAGTTTTGTTATCTGTGCTTTACATGCTTATATTCTATTTTGATCTCTGCAGTCAGGAGCAAAATTGCGTATGACATTGGTGGAGAAAATAGAAGTTATGTTTCACAGAGGTCCCTGTTCAGCCGCAGCACTAATTTTCCTACAGCAAAAAAAATGTTTAAATGTTTTTAAGAAAAATTTAAAAATGCATATTTAAAAAAAAAAATCCATCCAGCATCTCTCTGGAAGGTGAACAGTTGCAAGATGAAATAAGTTCAGTACAGAAACTTGGTGCCTGAGTTCTGTTGTCACTGCCAGTTGAACATGTTCTACAGAAACAGGTTAATGAAACCTAAAAATCTCATTTAAATGTAATTCAATTGCAGTACAAACTGACTGAATCCTTTTCTGTTTTGAACCTTAACTTTTTAGAATAGGTCTAAAATCAGGAAAGATGTGCTGAAAGTTAAGCATGTTAAAGTTAAAATTTGCCTAAATGTTTAATTTAATGTGCAAATAAAATCAGGGATTCTTTTCACAGCCGATGTCTCCTCCAGAGGACAAAGGTGAATTGCTAAAGGAAAAAAAATCCAATTGCTATTGGATAGATGAATATCTAGAGGTACCACAGAATCTGCAGACATGTCAGATTTTGTGAAAGCTGAGTATCTATGGGAAGGAAGTAGATTTGCTTTGCAGCGTTTGCTCGCCTGATTGCTTGCATTGCTACATAGATAACACCAGTGCTGTGGAGAACATACGTACATCATGGATCTTGTGGGAGACTACCTTTTCCCATTCAGCCCCCAAAGTACTGTGTTTTTTTAAAGTTTTTAAGATCATGATTGCTTTATTAAAAAAGAAAAAGAAAACAAAAAAAATACGTAGGCAATTTGCTACATACCTTTAAAATACTAAGTTATAACAGCATCATTTATATGGTTACATAGGAATCACCATTCAAATTATGAAACTCCCTCAATTTTTTGCAGATGGGTCTTCTCAACTTACCTTAGCTCCTAATATCACCCTAGAAAGTCCAAGACACCTCCGCAGTAGAAGGATCTTGCTGTCAGATCTTAAAGGATCTTAAGGGATAGTATCACACAGTGTTAATGACAAAATACTGTAACTCTGTGTTTTTCTTTATCAGTTGCATTTTCAGGCCTTGGCTTTACCACCTTCTACTTAGCTGGAAAGTTACACTGCTTCACGGAAAATGGCCGGGGGAAGAGCTGGCGGCTTTGTGCAGCAATTCTCCCGCTCTACTGTGCCATGATGATTGCCCTGTCACGTATGTGTGATTACAAACATCACTGGCAAGGTGAGCCATGGAGATGCCTTTTTTCTACTTTTTTTTTTTTTAGCCCTGTATTTCTTTGATTTTTTTTTCATTAAAATCACATGAGTTACAACATGATAGTATGCTAGATTTTCCTTGCTCCTGGATTGATGATGAGGGTTTCAATGTCTGAAAATACTGCAGGGGACCTTTACCGTTCTGTATTTTTATACACACAATGTACATCATCATACTTACATACAAATCTACATCAGTGGGTTTTTTACATCATCATTCTTTACAAATATACATCGGTGCCATAGCTGTCTTGGAGGAATCCAGCTGTAGGCTGGATCTGGCCCATCAGAGTAGCTCTGTCGTGTGGCCTAGTCCTTGCCTACTGCTTTTCCAGGTACCTGCTAGGTACCTGTTGGGTACGTGAGTAATTGCTAATACGTGGTTGCATGTGCATTAGACTAGACTGAAGCACCTGTGTGTAGCTAGTCATTGCAAAGATGCACTCAGTCATTTGTCTACATTCTGGTCATTTGATGCACATGATGTAATACACTGTTTTTCATTCAAATCAAAGTATATTGGGCATGAGGTGGGTTCATGGCCCCTCCTTGAGAAGTATAGAAACATTGCATACCAAGCTACATAGCACAGGTTGTAACAGATTCTGCCCATACTGAAAACCTTGCTGCAAAGTTTGATGTTTTCTGTTCTCTTAATTTTTTTGGCTGAGGTTGTAATTGCTCCCGTGGTGTCAATTCCACACTTTCCGAAGTCAGGTCCTACTTAAGGAAGATAAATGTTTCATCTTCTTGTTACATCCTATTAAAAATTATTTTCCATAGCTACGGGCTGCAAATATTTCAAGGCTGATATTTAGTTACACTGTCTGGATGTTAGCGTGATGGATTCAGTATGGTACCGTACATGTGGTACCAATGCATGTTCATTAATTTGTAACTGCAAATAAATGCTGAATGCATTCAATATGGATGAGTGGGTCACTGAAGCAGCATGCAGTGTCTTTCTTGATCATAAAGTGCAACCACAAAGCTAAAGAAACCTGCCACACAATCTTAAACCTTACCTATGTGAGGGAATGACAGTTATTGACAGAATGGGAGATGGCTTGTAAGACTCTAACATCAGCATTTGACCATTTGATATGTGGGTGAGTTGTATAAAATGTCTGCTCTTGGATGCACCTGCATCCTTAAAAGTCTACATATAATGAGCAACAGGGGATATTCTTAAGTGAAGCATCAACAGTCTGAAGGATGCTTAATCCTAATCTCTTTTTCATTTACTTCTTATTGTTTCTAGTGGAAACTTCGAATCTTCATATTTATGTGAGCATTCTCATGTAAATGAGGCATTATTACAATACAATGTAACTAGAGCAGATACCTTTCAGGAGGTTTCTTAGTGAGGTTGAATTAACTAGCACTGACCTTCATAGCTTCAGGGCTATGCCGCAGCATCCTCTCTTCCCTCACGGTAGGCACTTCCAGAGTGTGACAACAGTCGGACCATCTGTCACAGGAAGACTGTTGTCTCAGAGTCCTTTAAAATTCAGGTGTGAGATGTAACGGATATAGAAGGCTATGCTATTTACTAATTACACACTTATATTACTAAGTTACAATTCTATGACTTCATTCTATTAAGTCAAAATTATACCACACCTTACCCTCCCACACTGAGTCTTTCAGACATGGACCTGGTAGAGTCTGGCAGGTTGTCCACATGGCTTCCTTCCAGCGTCCGCAGGTCAGTCCACTACTGTCTGTCAGCATCTACACTTTCACTGTCAGAAAATCCTACCATCTATTATTTCTTCTACCATTTCTTGACCCTCTTTTTCGCTGCCTTTGTACCTGCCTTTCTCCACTCATGTCTCCTCCTAAGTAAACCAGCCTGTAATTACTTTTTCCCTGTTTATCCCCATATTCCTATGAGAAATACCAGACTTGGTATTTCTGATACTGTTACGTAGGTCATCTTGGCTTTATGTGGTATTGCTGGTATGGTACTGCTGGCCTTGCAAACTATACTCCCCTCAAGGTCCTGAGCGCTCCTTTCAGTTATCTGCTTCATACTGGTTATATATTATTTACGTGTTTTCTAAGACGTATCATTCTGTTGGTTCCTCTACATAGTTTCAATTAAGTACAGCATCTCTCTGTCCCACTGAGCATTTCTTATCTCAAACTGCAGTCAGCATACCAGAGCAAGACTCATCCATGCTTTTTCTTGTTCTGTTTTTTGTGTTCGTGCAGCATCCTGTTCTCCCATAGCTGCTTAATCACCAACCATTAACCTTGGCATGTTCTTAAGCAGTCTCCTGGTTTCCTGCAGAGGCCTTGTCTTACTACAGGGCTCGTTACTCTTCTTTGCTCACCGACACTCGGAGTCGGAGACAGCCTCCAGCACAAAGCTGCTGAATGTGAGGTGCGTGCCTTGTCAGGCTGGCAGGCGGGACAGACAGCAGAGTTACGAAGCTCATGCTCAATGTGTGACACTTGGCTGGTTTGAACTCCCTGTTAAAAATAGAGCGAGAGGAGTGTAAATGAATGTGAATAGGAGTGTACAGGTTTACTCTCAAGTTTTGAACACATTTGCAGTTTGTACTATCTCTTGCCAAGAGTAAGAATTATTTTTGTACTGAAACATGTGCCATGAAGCAGATTAGTATGGTTATGTTATACATGATAGAAGAAAACTACACCCAAGGGGTTGTGACTGTGTCCACTACAGCTGCTTATATTTTTGTCTTTGAAGTTTAAGGAGATGGAGCTGAGAACTCAGCTCTTCCCAAACTAAGAACAGGGCTGGCAGACATTATCCTGCAGGTGACCTATGCTTTTACCTGAAAAAAGTGCATTCCCAAGGGAGAGACTAGTTCACTCTGCAATATACAGCACAGAAGCTCAGGCCTCATCTTTTATGCTCAGCAGAGTCAATTGATTGTGTTAAATTACTTATGGTGGCTTTGTGATAGACTCTTAACTATGCTGTGGGGAATGAACAAGGACCATCAATATAATGTCCAAGACTTAGCATACTGTAGGTGAAAGATGGAGTATCCTTACATTAAAAGCCATTGAGTGGGCTCAGAACGTTAATATTATGAGTACTTTGTGAGCTCCCTTCAGTTTGGCTGGAAAATGTAGTATTCAAGATCTTAGTGTTGGTATTAATGAAATATCCTAATATTCACCATGAATCGTGAATGTATTGACTCCTTTTAAGTCTCTAGATCTCTGTATAGGCTTATAACTCTGAAAATGCTAATTTACTCATTAAATAAGTGGAAATTTTGTATGAAAAAAGTAAAGATAAATACTGAGACTGAAAGAATATTCTTTTTCCTTTATGGACAAAGGCAAAAAAAAAGAAAAAAAAAAGGAAGCTGTGGCTACCATGAGCTCAAACAAAACACAGAATTGTTGTCTTCAAAAACAGGAGTCAAAATAGCTGCCTGTGTGTTTGCTCAGTACTCCCAGTCAAGGTCAGTAAGCTAGAAATCTTTGGCATAAATCAGGTAGTGAATTTGTATTACTGTGGTGCCCAAACTGAGGCCCAGAGTTGCATAATTTGCATGTAAGTATTTTGAAAGAAATTATCTAGGCAAGTTTTCAGCAAGTCTTGAAATATTGGGGAACTTATAGAGGACTGGCAGAAATCTGGTGTTTCTCTGTAATTAAAAAGAGTAATCACAGGCTTGACCTCATTGTTAAGCAAAATAAGAAAGCAGCTGGAACAGGATTCAATCAACCACAGTTAAAGCAGGGTAATCTGAGAATTGCAACCGACACAGGTTTATAGAAAATGAATCTTATCATAATAACTATATATTTTAGTTGATTGATATTGTAATAGTATACCATAGTGAAAATTCTTGCCCTTGGTACCTTTTGTACCATGACAGTTTGACAGGAACAGTCCGAATGGTACAAAATCAGTCAGCTACCAGTATGAGTAGGATAAGCTTCTGTCTGCTTGCAAATACTGTGTACGCACAATCACCTTTTAAAATCTTACTTGAGTCTCTACTACATTTGTTTGTGATAGATTTATGTCCTTTTGCGTGTAGGAAGAGAACACAGGATTAGAAGGGATATCCTAGGTCGTTCAGTCTAGTCCTCTTCCTCAACAGACAACTGTGACTTGTAATCACATCCTTAAATTTATCCATCTCAATCTTAAATTTTTCAGGTTTTCTTGCCCTAGCTATTCCTGCTAAAAGGCTCTTCAGAATCTCACTCCTCCAATGATTGCAAGCCATTTATTACCCACTGAAAATTGAACAATATGCCCTTTGTCCTAATATATACTAGACTGACAAACTAGGGCATTTAATCCATATTTAACTATTTTAGACAAAAATAATTTGTATTGATTAACCCTTCTTTGTCATTAAACTCAATGATTAGCTATTTTTATTACACTGTGGTTTCTTTGTAACTGAAAGTAAAATACAGAAACACGGGTATACGCAGATGATATGGTGCTTAGTAGCCTTGTTAAAATAAAACATGGTGTCAAGTCATATCCTAGCCAGTGCCTTTTGCCTCACTTTCATTATTGTTTGCGTTCGAATCTGAGGCTTTCAAACTCAGTGTGTATTTTCAGTGAAGTTTTGCTCTGGTTGCTTGAAAATGAAACACAAGATCAGGCAAGTATATTAGCAAGAAGCAAGGAGAACCTGACAACAGAACAAATCCTCTTACCCTTCAGGTGCTATGCAGTTTCCATGGAAAACTTAAAATTGCCCATGTGTGAGAGCTGCAAATATCTCATTCAATGGCCTGATTTTATTTTATCTTATTTTATTTTCTGGTAGGAGTATGGGATAGTAAATAGCATCAAAGAAAGATATTGAAAAAGTGTTAAATCAGTTAACAGGCATGCTTAGTCTTTGACCTTTCAGGTGCTTTTAGGAAGAATTCACCCGGCTTGAAATTGTTCTTAACAGCTGTCTTTCTGAGGGGCCTTTCAGGAGCTGCAAGTGAAATGAATTGTAGCTACAGTGGCCGACTTCCTGAAGGAAGATAATTTTCCATCCTACATCCTACCTGCTCCCTGTCTGCATTGGAGAATGCCTTCTGGAATACAAACCAGTCAAAAGTAGATCTGGCATTTTAGCTGCCATCTTTCCTGGGGTTAGTTAGGCAGAGACAAGGAGCAGACTGTAGTCAGCGCAATAGTTGGAGGTGTACCTGTCAGCGGGAGAGCTCTGGATGCTGTAAACAGCATAGTTCAACTGTATTGTTCGTAAATAGAAATCCTGGTGGTGGTCATTGTAAATCATGGCAAACTGAAAGAAGACATGTGGGTTGCTTACCCTTAAAGGCTGGTCAACAGTGAGCTGGAACATCATCAATGTTTAATGCCCCATGGAAACCATTCTATTTCCCTTGTTCATCTCCTGAAACATAGCCAACCATTTATGTTTTGGGTATTCAAAATGTTGGAGATGTCCTCCCAAAAATATTGATTTTATGTGTTCTACGTGATTGTGGTATTCGGCTCCAAATTCTTTATGAAAATTTGAGGTTCACCTTTTCTGGATTAAACACTTCCAGGTCAACCAAAGGTCTTTTATTTACAGTTGTCACTACTGGCTGTCCTTTCCATGGTAACATACTTCTGGTTTTATTGCTTTTCTTATCTAGATGCTTTCGTTGGAGGGATCATTGGCCTCATTTTTGCTTATATTTGCTACAGACAACACTACCCTCCTTTGGGTAATACAGCTTGTCACAAATCTTACGTCAGCCTGCTAGATCAGAACCCTGTGAAGAAAGAAGAGAGACCTACAGCAGATAATGCTACTGGCCTGCCTCTAGAGGGAATAACTGAAGGTCCTGTATGACTTTAAGAAATGTGCAGAATGAACTTTTAGCCTTCTCACATTTCCTCCAAACTGGTCTCTTAACACAGTGTTTCTTACTGTACATGTTTTTTCTTTTGTTTCTTTCCTTTTTATAAAGAAAAGTGAAATATTTTATTTTTAATGCCATAATATCATCATACTTTTAAAGTTAAATTTTCAGTTCATATCGACTTACTGAATTACCTGTTTTCAGCCTACTGCAAACAGATAGACTACTTGAGGGAAGGGGAAAGACCATTAATAAAAACAATCCCATGTGAAGAATGGTTAAGAGAGTAATTTTAAGAAGGTGTCATTGAGGATAGGGTAGATCTGGAAACAGATTTTCTGAAGTACTGAGTGTCTCCTAGAAAGTTCTGGTCATCTTCAGCACTCATTGATTTTGATGTGTGATGAGTACACACAGCACTTTTCATCAGATGTTCAGCATCTGTTGTGGCCAGCCACTTCTTTATATAATTTGATAAGTTGGGCATCATCCTAATGTTTAACTTGTTGCCTTCTAACATAAAAATATCCACATGCTGGTAGAACTTCGTATTAATTGTCAAGTTTTGACAAGGTCATTCTGAGCTACTAATGATCAAGCAACCGAAAGGTATGAATGGTTTAAGTGTTTGTAAGAGCCAAGCCTCGTGCATTAGTAGTTCCACAGGATGATGCTGACATTCAAGAAATTCCACACTGTTAAAATTATCAGCTTGCAATAACATATATGTTCATAGGATGGATTAGAAACTTGGTATTACATCATTAGCAATTTTTTGAGAGCTCTTGCAGTAATTACCATCAAAACAAATGAAGTCTTTAAAACAAATTTTAAAAATCCTAAAACTGTGAGGATAAAGAAACACAATGTTTTCTGTGAATCTTGGTGTGCCACATTCATTCTTGTGTAGTGACTCACTGCAGCATTGGTGATCTAAAGAAATGCAAAGATTTTCATTTGTGACTTTGGGCGCACAACCATGAATGCTTGTGGTGGTCTCCAGCACTGTAACATATACAGAGGAATGCTGGAGACAGTTTTCCACTAGACCCATTCCACATTTTCAGCTCATCATGTTCTTGAGCGTGGTGTTTGCGAAGGTTGGCTTGGTACCTGAATTGAAACTCACCTGAATCAAAACACTGTTGGTATGAAGAAGATTACTAAGTGTATGACTTTAGTTAATTTATTATTAGTAGGATCCTGTTTTGTTATGTATGCGCTATGCAGTATACATCACATTCCTGTGAAATGATGTACCTTCGGATGGCAAAATGTCAGATTCCAGAATTTTTTTCTTAGATATCCTGTGAAAATGCAGGCAAATGTTCCAGACCACATCTTGGCAGTTGAACATTTCTTAGCCGGAGCTGCTGGTTAAAGCAATCAAGATAGCGTTGATCAATGACCATTATTACGGTGCTTTAGACTGGAGGAGACTGCTGCCATAATTATAATTTATGTATTCCTGTTGGAATATGTATTGGCCTTGCAGGCATTTTGTGATTCAAACAGCTCAATGTCTTTATGTAAGGCTTGTCATTTACTTTTCTCAAAGGTAAGCTTTGTAGATATTTTGAGAAGAGCTACTTCCTGATTGGCAACACTTGAATTTTTATAGAAAGCAAGTAAATTAGAATCCCTTTAAAAATAAATGTAATAATTGTGTACAAGAGGATGCAACCATACTATATAGAAACTTATATGATATTTGGAGGTAACTATAAATAGGAAATGACATTAAGAAATGGAATGTAATAGGCATGAACCCAGGAGGGTTCTGTAGAAATTAGGCCCGACCTACTTGTAAAACTGATACCAGTTTGACTGCATCAGTTAGAGGTAGGATTTTTTACTGACAGTTACATTATTCTGAGCTCTAGAATAGAGACAGTTACCCAAACATAACTGTGTTTTTGCTGGTGTATATATGCTAGTTCACAAAACTAGCATCAGCAAAGCAAAATTATTCTGACATTGCATTTGCACTGGATTTGACAGAACACTTCTCTAGTGTGACTGAGGTCTTGTTCTAGAAATCCACACAGTTTAGTGGAGGTTTAATCTTTCTATAAAGTTTTTAAACCATCCTACAGAATTCTATAACAGGGATATCATTTTCTATTACTTCATATGGGAGGATTAATGAAAGCCCTAGAGTAAGGGTATCATGTCTTTACATCGTGTAGGGCTTAGCCATTAGCTTTTTCTTTCAGCAGGAACCCTAGTCTTCCAGGTTATATGCAAATGTTAAAAAAAATCTTAAATCAAAATTAGAAGTTTAATACTGATGCATAGAGCATTTTGCATGTTTTTATATAGATCTGGCTTATTCTCAAAAATGAGTGGGGCGGGGCCTCCTTCTATGCTGTACACATTCCCAGTATTTTAATGGCTTTTGATACAAACAAGCTATCTTCTTTGGGATGGGGAAAGCTTATGCAGCCCTCAAATGAGTAGTGGGCTCGTTAAAAGATTGGAATATGAAGTGTAATGCAGCATAAATACTTACGTTGCAAGAGTAATTGGTGAACTTTGCAAAGCAGTAAAGAATAACATATTTTAATGGGAATAATTAAATTGAAAGTCATAAAATAGACAATGTAAAAGCTTTGATTAAAATGTAATTAAAATTATGAAAGACTTAATGAAGTGAAACTTGTGGAGGGATCTGTAGGCGCTGTAATTACCAGTGCAAAGTCAGTGTAGGGAAGGCATTTTTGTGAATCAATGTATTTTAATCTCATGCTTTCTCAATGTGAAGGAAATGTAATGTTGTAATGCACCAATAAAACAACACATGAATGTGGGTTTGTACATCTGTGTGTTATCATTTTTTTGAGAAGAATAAAAGTTACCAAGTTAGTTTCATTAATAAACCACATGGAGTATTACAAAAAAACAAGCCCTAATGTGACTGCATTATTGATAAACAACAGTTCCAAAAGTCATTACTGATACCACTAAAATGGATCAGCCTTCCTCCTTTAACCAAAATACACTATCCAACTTTTATCCAGGAAAATGTACAGTGTAATTCTGCAAGGTTGAAATTTTGAAATATTCAACCAGCTACACTGCAACAGCTCCCTTTCATCTGTCAAGTTCTATATATCAAATAATACTAGGAGTGCCACAATAACAAATGTGGTTAGACTAGAAAAGAATAAAAAAATCTAGTAGAACATAGCAGAAATATCCTGAAACCAAGATAAGCACGAGATTGCGAACCAGTCAGCAAAATGTTCCCGTAGTGAATGCATATCTCAGGCAATGTGTTAGGAATAGAGCTGGAGCATTTATGCTGATTCATTCTCAGATTTTGTTGTGTGCAATTTAGTCTGATTTGGCCCTCTGTTCTTTCCCTGTGCATACTGCAAGTTCTTTCTATTTAATGTGAAAAAAAGAACCTCATCTTCCCTTCTTTCTTTCCATAACTAAAATATACTGTACTACGGATTTAAAAAAAAATAGATTTTAAAAAAGCCTTATTTTTTTTTCATGGTACTAAAATTCCATTGACTTCAGTGGAACTGCTCTGGATCACTAAGCACATCATATCCAGCAGGTGGAATAAAGCCTTCACAGAGTTTTTGCTCGCACTCATACATTTTTATGAGTATAATTAGCAAAATACCGCAACTAATTTGTCTGCAATTGTGTTTTCTTGTGTTAGCATATATCTCTCCTGAGTTAGAAAACTGTTGGGTTCCTCTGACCTAGCGGAAGGGGTAAAGTCTTGAACACAGCAGCACCAGGATGATGGGAGTGAAAAGGTTAGACACATGTTTCTGTTGCCTTTGATGTTCAGAATGTGTTCAGAATTGCCGCAGGCAATAGGTAACAATGATTATAAAATTTCTGTATTACCTGCTCACCAGTGTTACTGCTTACAGTAATACTGTGCCGGCTGGGACAAATACAGTACGGGTCCTGTATTGAAGAGTTATGCTATGTTTATATTAATTCATGGAAAGAAGACAGAAATTCTTCTCTTCATTACACCAGTGTAAACACTGCTGTATTGCATGGAGTTACTTCATAATAATACTCTTTTATCAAAGCAATATTTGAGATTTTGGTCTTCTGTCACTGTTGTCTTTCTTCCAGTAAACTCTCACCAACCTAAATGTGAAAAGGAGAGCCTATAGTCCCTTTCCAGGCACATGTGTTATATTGCAGTAGTCATCCTGTTGTGGGTGTGCTCTAAACAAAGTAAAGTTTCAGGGCTGGTGTGCCTGAACATTTGGCTTGGGAAGGATGGTCTAGAGATTCACAGTTACCATTTCAATAGGGCAGGAGAAAATCAACCACACTGAAGTATCATTGCTTCACCTTCAGGGTCCATCTGTATAACAGAGAATAGAGATGTTTAAAAGCTGCATGAATGTCTGTTCTTGATCCTATACACCCTCATAACAGATAATTTCTTTCTTGCAAGAGGAAATGCTAAACACTTGTTATTTTTCTCCAGAATTCTCATTGACCAAAGAGTCTAAGCATCCTCTCTGGATGTTCCAGTGTTTTTCTCTTAATTTTTTTCTCAATTCTCTTAGAAAGGCAATTATACATATAGGCAGCTCCCTTTATTAAGAACACCTTGAAAAATTCAGAACAGTATAAATGAATTTAAAAAATTAAGCATATAAATCAAAATTCACAAAATTTGCAAAGTTCAGTTTTACGCAGAGAAAGCAAAAGTATCTCATGCTGTTCAAATGTTATTTGTAACTATGCATTCAGTAGGATTGGTAATCTTTAGGTAATGCTGTAAAATAAAATTCAAGGTGTGCTCTTATGCTTTAAGACCAAAAAGAACAAAATTATATAAATAAACAACAGGATAGCTAGTGGATTAGACACAATGTAAAGATCAGTTAGAAATAGTTCCAAATTAGTTAATTGAATTGACTCTATTTTAAATACAAAATTAAAGCATCTACCAGGGTTTTATTCCCACAGTTTAAAGTGTATCTTAAAATTGCTAAGC